CTTCCTGTCTGCCTCTCCTGAGGAGGCCAGTCCACAGGCTCACACTCCTCTGGTCCATGTTCCTCACAGCCTTACCCATAAGCTAGATTCCCGCCCTCCTGGTGGGGTGCATTTGAGCCTACGGTGTCACCACTTAACAACCTTTCTCGGTATTTAGTTATAAGTGGTGGGTATCTTATCTGCGCTCATTTTCTCTGATCTCTCCAAGAAATTGAAATTAGTTTTCCTGGGGCATTTCCACAGACAATGTGGGTCACCAAGACAGGAGACAGAAAATCCACTTTCTCTGATCTCTCCATGGAATTGAAATTAGTATTCCTTGGCAATTTCCACAGACAATGTGGGTCACCAAGACAGGAGTCAGAAAATCCACTGAGAAAATACCAATTAACATTGCAGACAACAAGGAGTTCAATTCCATATCCCAGAATCCAACCCTAACCTCCCACGAATGGTGATTCTGGTGGAAGTCAGGCAGCAATGCGTGGCAAGGGCAGCTGCACACCCCTCTGCTCACATTCCACCTTGTTACCCCTGGTCTGGGTGCTTTGATTGACAGCCAGGAGGCCCAAACCCTCCAAGTAGCCATCATTTCCCACAAATCCACATGAGTGCTCACAGCCACATGACACCAACCTTCATCAGAGTTATCCCTGCAGTCTGAACACTCATTGGTGGACCTTCCCAGTTCAACCATTAGGCAGGTGAAAGGCCAAGGGTTAATTGGCCAGTGAGCGGGTGACCCCAGGTTGGTGGAGAAGCCCCACCCTCAGCCCAGATGACCCCAGGTTGGTGCAGAAGCCCCACCCTCAGCCCAGATGCTGCACTTCATGAAACAGAGAGTGACAGCATCCAAGAACACCAGAGGGCAGGGAAGGTCCTGTGATTAAAATCTGTCGGCAGCATGCCCCGTCTCTTCACCCTGGGCAAGCCCTCCACTACCCAGCCCTCTAAGATTGGGTCCTTTGGTTCCATCACGTGGTCTTTTCCCTGCATCCCTCCAGATCTCCCCCATGATCTCTTCTCCTGTTCCTCCAACCATGAACACAGTCACCTTCTCCTTAATGACATGAATACCACTGCACTTCATATGTGCGTAACCAAACAACTAAGTTACCACATCTACCATATTGACCAAAAGAATACACCATGATATCATTATTATAAAAAAAAACAGTTTAAGCAAAGTTTCTAATTCTACCAAGATATCGTTGGAGACACCAGAGCTTCAGGTGTGTTTTCTTGCACATTACTATGGAGGGGCTTCAGCTGGCCCACAGAGACCCTTTCCTCCAGCCCCTTCCTCTTATTCTCACTTTCACATTTCTCATGACCAATGTTTTCTTTGCTGCTTAGGGCACCTTGTAGCCTACTCTCTAAAAGGCTCCTCTGCTATGCATACCACTCAAATGCCTCAAGTAACCACATTCAGAACCAGTGTCTAGACACCAAGGAGCAACACTAACATGGCTTCTGCCTGAAGAATCCACACTTTCCTGCTCAGGGATATTGCACAGCATGCCTTTCAAGAAACTCTGGATGCCCTTTTTTATCTCTGGGGATTCCTATCTTCCGTGGAGTGGACCTGGTTACTTTATTAAACTTCAATATCTTCCACTCTGTAAAAAAGTGACAACAAGATAAAATGCACAGATACTCCAAGGACTACATTCCCAGGGTTGAGGAAAATTATACTGAAGACACACCAATTTATGTCTTCAGTTTAATATAATCCAGGACCAAGACATGAAAATTTCTATGAACAAATGAAAGCCCGACAAGAGAGGTCTATAAATGGCATGCAGGAAGCTGCTCCATCTGCCTGTGTGCCTGCTGCACCTCCCTTAGTCACAGCCTAAAGGGGAAGCCAGGAAGCCCAGGAAACAGAATGCCCACTTGTTGGAGGCAGAGAAAGACAAATTACATGCAGGGGGCGCCAGCATTTCTAAGATCAACTTGGTGGAGAGTTTCTCACCAGAAAGCCAGGCATTTGAGGGAAACATTCACGATGATCCCATCAGACTGGACTGATGTGCCAAGACAGAACCCATAAACCAGCCAGACAATGACCTAAGTCAACGACGATGCTCCTACTGGAAACGTTTTTAAGAAATCAAGATCCCACCTAGCACAGATGACCTGTCAGAGTGCCAGTCCGGTCATCTGTTTTTGAGTTGGTGGCTTTCCTCTTACTCAGAGATGATATCCATGGTATGAAATGAAGGGCCATTAAAATTAGTGATATGAATCCACCTATAAATTGCCTAAGTAGTAAATTTAAACAAAATCTAGCTTGCAAATTAAGCCTGATAAGTCAAAACTTCACAAAAATTCTGAGTAGAGAAATAAACAAAAATGTTTAAAAGTACAAATGAGTTCAAGAACATGTTAAAAGAATGATAAAAATCAACAAGTAAAACAACAACAATAACACTTTTTTCCTCTTTCACCAAAGTGAAACACCCTGTAATTAGCAGAAAGTTCTCATTGAAAGGTGTAGTGGAAGTTAAAATACATATGTAAGAGAATTGGGGTAATCTACTTAAGAAGCATTTATACCAAAAGGAAATATTTTCATTATTTTAACAATGATTGTAAAATTAATGTATCTTCCATGCAGCAATAAATTAATACCAAAAATAATTTAGAAATTCCACTATCCTGAGAAAATTACTATGAACTATTGTCTTTTACATTTATAGTTATTTTTCTATTGTGCATACCCATGAAATCATACCCATATCACTTGCTTCTTATTTACTTAAAAAAAGGAAAGAGTATCATATATATATATATATATATATATATATATATATATATATATATATATATATATTAACTTTCTTTAATGACATATTGTGGATTTTTTACACCGTTATACTTAACCATATCAAAATACAGTTATATAACATAATTTTAATGTCTACAAGTATCAAATGATGACTAAATAAGAATTTATTAAAATAAATATTTAAAGGATATTTGACTTATTTCCAATTTCCAGTTATTTTCATTGACAAATAATATTATAATGGGAATCTTCTGTACATGTCTGGGTACTTGTCTAATTTCTTCTTTAGGCTAAAAGCCTAGAGAGAAATTGCTTTAGTAAAAAAGTGTTCATATTGTGGATCATCACAAGATAGATGTCTGAAGGGTCAAGACTTGGGCCAAAATGTGCATGCCACTTAAATTCTACAACAATACTACTAAATTGTTCTCTATAAAATTATTTTAAAAACTAAAACTGATGGACTTGGTGATGCACACCTTGAAATCCCAGTGCTCAGTAGGCGGAGGAAGAGGATTGTGAATTGCCAGAAGCAACTCATAGAGACCCTGTCTCTACATAAAATTTAAAATGTGGTTGGGGATGTGGATCAGTGGTAAAGTGCCCTGGGTTTAACCCCTGGTACAAACGAAAAACCCTCCTATTATCTTACCCTGTTGAAAAAGGGGCTTTCACCTGCTTTATAATAAACATATTCAACTAAAAAAAACAAAACAAAATAAAAATAAAAGAATCTGCTGTCTGTACCAGTTGGAGGCTCTGGCTAGAGGCCCATGGCTTCCCCTCCTTGAGCAGCCGATTAAGACCACACCCCAACCCCTTTCCTTATCAAACTCCTACTCAGGGCCTCCATGTACCTGCCTATCACCCTGAGACAAAAACTACAAGGAGGGGCAGCCCTGTGGCCAGGGCCTGGAGAATTATTGAAATCAGCCAATCCACAGGGTGCAGAGAACCCTGGCCAGTACCAGCCCAGCAACCCTGCTTCAGATGCTTCCTAGAGCCTAGCCTGTCTCCCTCAGTGGCCCTGCCTGGCAGCCTGCTCTTCTTCAAACTGTAAGACTTCTGGTTTTCATCTACCCAGGCTCAGTGTTGTGTCTCATCATAAAGAATCTTGTTCTTGCAAGAACCCTAAATATGTTGGGGCCAGAACCTTCATGGGGTACTGAAGTGATCAGAGAAGAAAAGCAGATTCTCCTGATTGCTAAATATCCTTTTGTTGTTGTTGTTTGCTTGTTTTGCTTCAAGCTTTTTATTCTGTCCTTTGTATTAACAATCTTTTTAGAAATATAGAGGCATCAGCAAGGCCCAAGTCTGAACCTTGACATGCACATGGATTTGCAGACCCACCCCCATCAGGATGTAAAACTACTCCTCTCCCCCAGGGAGCTCCAGTGCTGTCCCTGGTGACTCAGCCCTTCCTCTGCCCCCTCCTCCAGGAAGTGAACTCTGGGAACCTGGACCCCAGGGCTGGCTCTGCTGTTGCACTCTTAGAGCCCCATGGGAGTGCCTCCAGCATGCAGCCTCTGCAGCCTGGCTCCTCCCAGCACAGACCCTGCTGATGCACCTTCCTCTGTGAATGAATATTCCCTTCTGTTTGCCCCAGAGTGATACCTCATGCCTTTTCCCCACTACTTGGAGAATATTGGACTTGTTTCTAAATTTTGTCTCCTGTGAATAAAATTGGATTGTGTGCACACACATTTTCATGTGGACAGGAGTCATTTTCTCTGCCTGGGTCACACAGCAGGTGACTGATGACAGGAAGCCACCATTTTCTCCAGTAGGGCTAGATTTCTGTGTCCCCCCCACCTCCCACAGTGCACAGGAAGGCCATCTTCTCAGATCACTCATGGAACCTGTTGGTTTACCTTTTTCCACTCTAATAAGCCTGGTGTGGTTTTATGTTGTCTTTTTCTAGTGACAACTAGTGTGATAATGTGATGGTCACTTAAGAGTGAATGAACAAGGGTTGACTCTGCTCAGGAAACCAAGTATGGAATCTAAAATAAGGAAAGTGTGGGTTGGGGCTCTCCTTGTGTCCTAGAGGCTGGTGTCACCTTGTGGTGGCTGACCCTGCCTTGAACTCCTTCTTTGGCTATTTGACCTTGAGGCTGTAAAGGTGCAGCAAGTGGCCCCTGCCCTGCTTCCACATGCCCTGCTGTGGGTTTCTCACAACCAGCTTTCTGTCCAGGGATCCTGTTCACAGTGTTTCTGGAAGAGCGTGAACGGCAGTGATTCAGAGTAAGGACATGACCCAGGACAGCCCCTGCGAGGACAGAGGACTGAGACCCCCCAGGATGCAGCCCTGGAGCAGGAGCCTCAGGACCCTCCTGCTCTGCCTCCTGCTTCCCTGGCCAGGTGCAGGTGAGTGACAAAGGGCACAGCTGCCCTTTCCTTTCCCTGGTGCCTGGGTCAGGGCCCCTCCTCCTCAGGTGTCCCTGAGCCCAGCTCATGCCCCTTTGCTGGAGCTGAAGCCCAGGTGCTTCTGAATTCAGTCTATCCTTGTGGCTCTTGTTGACAACTGTGCTTTTCTATTTCCTTTGTGAGGATCAAATGATCCAGTCACCCAAAGCTGGTTTTTAATGGAGGTGCTGTAGAAGCTGTGTCTTAGGTAGCTTCTGTGATGTGCTCAAGTTTGTTTGCACCTTCTCTAAAGCTGAGCCCTGAGTGCAGGTGCTCCTGGGGACAGTGGCCGCCTGCTGACAAACCTGGGTTGAGAGCTCAGTTCCCATAGTGCAGGCCCTTATCAGAGTCTCTGTGTTCACCCTTTGTTGTGCTTTGACCTCTCCTGTTATTCCCTGTTGTGTTTGGCCCTGTGTGTTTGGGAAGGAGGGAGTCCCAGTGTGTGCAACACATAGTGCATCCTCTAACACACTGAGCTGGCATCTGTCTTGAAGTTCTAGTGTTTTACAAGTGTTGTGGGGAAAGGTGATGAGAATCAAGGCATATGCAAAGGCACGAGGCCAACAAACCTGGGGACAAGCTCTGGGACCCCAGGGCCCTGCTGCCCCCACCTAATGCAGGCCCTTGTCAGAGTCTTTAATTTCCTCCTTTCTTAGGAATTCATTTCTCATATTATCCCTGTTTGGTCCTGGCTGGAAAGGAGGGAGCACAGCAGGGGCCCTGCATTATTCCCCTGTTGCCCACAGAGCTGGTCTCCTATTTGATAAGTGCTTGGGTTTGAGCTGTTATGATTAAATGTTTCCAATATGGAAACTGATCCAAGAGAAGACACACACACACACACACCGGCCAAACAACATATTGCTTGACACCAGCATGCGTTCCCATAAATGAAAGATATCAATGTGGGTGTGAAATGCCTGTACATCTCAATGATTTTATTGAGAAACATCTTGTTGAACAATACACAGACATAACTTCTCAAAAAATAAAACAGATAATTTTAGACTCTAAAATAGTAGCTCATCCCTCTACCTCAGAAAATATTTTCTACTAAAACACTAGAAAACAAATGGGACATTGCAATAGGAATATATTTATTATTTTTTAAAAAAAACTACTAAATCTATGAATTTCTCCTTCATCTTAAAACTGCTCAGTTTAAGTATTATCACATGACAGTATTTCCAACATTAGTAGAATTTCACTAAGTAAAAGAAAATATTCCAGTCTTGTCTGGAGATCATTTTTTTTTTCAATTAGTTCAAATTGTGAAACATCCTAGCATTAAGGAGAAAGATGCATGCCATACCTGCAATCCCAGGAACTGGGAGACCAAGACAGGAGGTTGGAGGTTGGAGCCAGCCTCAGCAACTTCAAATAAATAAAAAGGACTGAGATGTAGCTCAGTGCCCCTGGGTTCAGTCCCCAGTATAAAAGAAAAAAAAATTACATATAAAGACCTTGTAATATGTATAAATAGTTTTCCTAGTAAAATCTCTTTAGGACTTGTCCTAAAAAGTGAGTGAATATACTCACAGAGACACAGACAAAATAAATAGGAACAAATTACCAAAATATATGCTCAGAATGTTAGAAAATCTATGGAGGAGATGAATATTATGCATATATATTATGTTATTATATTCCTTTTTGTACCACCTAATAATAAGATCTAATAACAGCAGAATTACATTTTGGTGCCCTAAAAATTTTGAATGACTGTTTATGAATTATCAGTGCCCTGTGACATTTGTCTCACTTTATACATGAGACCTTTAGAAATTGATAATTCACCAAATGTACCTTGTCTATAATTAAGATTCACCTGCATCCACTGGAGGACACCTGGGGAAACCTGCTGTTCCCATGAATTTGCTCATGATCTTCCCATTTGGATAAGGAATCCAGTTCATTTCCTGGCTCCAAAGGCCTGCAGGTGCCTGCTCACACTAACTGCACAGCAGGGCTTTCATTCTGAAGTTTGCTTTTGGGTGATCAATATTTTAAAAGCACACAGTACTGAAAGCTTTAGGCCAAGGTCAGAATTCCTCCCCCTGATCCTCCTCAATCCTCTCTGTTGACTGTGGGCTGTGGCTTCTGACCTTCCCTGTCACATTGTGAACCCCATGTCCTCTCCTTCTGCTTCCCTCCCTCATCCACCTTCAGTGGAAGTTCATCCCAAGGTCGGGTCAGACCAGCCCTAAGTTCGGAGGTCATCCTGGCCACCTCGTGCCCTTCACTGCTGCTGGGAGGTTCTGACCCCACAGGCAGTCTGGGGGACTCTTCAGTTCCCTGAGCTGGCACCAGTCCTGGTTTTCTCATTTGCATATTCCCAGCAGTTCTTTCAATGTCTGTCAACGACTTAATTTTCCAAGATATGCTTTCCAGTTCCTCCCATTACTGGCTCTGGGAATTCATGAAACTCTCCCCCACCCTCTCACCATCCATCACTCTGAGGTTCCTTCGGGGTTTCCTGTGGGGAATCCCATCTGCTGTCTTCCTCTTGGATTTCCTCTTTTTTTGGCTGAGTCACATCTTGGTATGGTCCCTTAACAGGCATGCAGAAGTGCATTTCAAAGCTCCTACTCCAGGAATTCTTCTATTATGTCATCAAATTCAGAATACAGTTTGGCGAAGATTTAAGATGCCTCTGAATTCTGAAACATGAGCCCCCTATTTTGGTGCAGTGTGGTGGGCACTTCATAGAAGAGATTACAAATACTGGCATCTCAGGCATCTCAGGCCCTAGAAGGGCCTCTGCATGCTGAGTGAGGAGCCCCCAAGGCTCCCGGGCAATGCCTCTGCCTGTGTGTGCTGAGCAGGCCTCCTGGTCCCATCGCCTTAGTCTCCAGGCCTGGGAGCTCTCTGGGGCTCAGTTGACTCTCAGCACAGTGGAGCTCCTCCATGAAAGGTCTGCTCTCCCCCGCTGCTCCAGGCCTTGCAGGCTTCCTTCCTCCTGTGCAACTTGTCTGAACTTTCTGTGCAGAGTAGCTTGGAAGAGAATGAGAAGGCAAGTGGCCCCAGAACACTGCCTGGGGGAATGCAGTGCTTCTACCTGGGCTCCGGGTCTCAGACCCCAGCAGAGATACCATTCTGGAAATCTGCTGCCCTCCCTGAAGGGCCTGCAACAGCCTTCCCTGTTCCCATCTCTGGTTCCCCATGACTTTCAGGGACATGGCCGGGGGTTGGAAGCTCTAGAAAACGGGTATTTGTTTCTACCCTGTTTCTCCAGCCACCCACTGAAGCCTGGATTTGTCTGCAAGAAAGGAGATGGGAGGAAGGGCCACCCAGAGTGACACCCCTGGAGACCCAGATGAAGGGTGCATCTGCCTCTGCTGTCACCCAGGGTGCACAGGAGGAGGTCCTGTCTAGGACACATCTGCTTACCCAGGGGCAGTGGCTTTTCCCTCAGCCAGGGAAAAACTCTTCAGCTGTCCTGGTCCCTGGAAATCTTTCAGCATGTGATGAATGTCCTTTGATCCCTTCATCTCCCACCATTGACATTCTACTCAGTTGCCACTCACAGGATATTAGGAATTGATCTACTTTATAGAGGGTACTTTCTTCATCAGAGAAGGAACATTGGGCTATCCTGCAATGATGTGAACTGTTTTGCAGGAGAGCTCAGCTATTTCCTCTGCCACATCTGGTTCTGATAGCACTGATGTAAACCTATTTGTGAGGATCAGTACTGTTTTACAACTCCTTTGGATGCCCAGGCTTATTTTTCAAATACTAAGGGGTTTGAAGACTAGAAAATTAACACAGAAGCCTGTTGAAGACATCTTAGATCACAGAACTCTTGAATGACATGATGGTAGAAAAGTATGATATGCTTGGAGCTGCCTATAGGAAGGCTTGATGTAGAGTCTTACAGTTTTCTTGAAATGATCACACTGGGTGACCATTTTGATCCCTCTTTCTTATCTTTATTTTTTCAGTTATTCAGATTTTTTTGGAAGATAGCATTGAGGTATGACAAACATTTTTTTAAGAAAGAGAGAAAGAGAGAGAGAGAGAGAGAGAGAGAGAGAGAGAGAGAATTTTTTATATTTATTTTTTAGTTTTTGGTGGATACAACATCTATTTTATGTGGTGCTGAGGATGGAACCCAGTGCCACGTGCATGCCAGGTGAGCACGCTACCACTTGAGCCACATCCCCAGCCCCATGACAAACATTTTTAAAGTTGCATGTATTTTAAAGGACACATGTGGAGGAGTTTGGGAATTAGCATGCACCTGTGACATTGTCTTACCATCAGGGAACTAATCTCGACTTTCCTCCAGTGTCTCCTCCTACCATCTTGCTTTTGTTATTATTATCACCCTGTGTGTGTGTGTGTGTGTGTGTGTGTGTGTGTTGAGGATGCTTAGCACAAGACCTTCCCCTTAGCAAGCCTCTGGGTACTGTACAGCACTGTACATTAGACCTCAGATTGTTGATCTCACATGACGGAGATCCCATCGATCCTTCAGCCCCTGACTTGCTCTTCCCCAGAGCCTCGTCACACCACGCTCTCATACAGTGTGGGTCTGCCTGTGTCAGCCACTCCACTTGGCACAGTGTCCTCTGGAGTGTGCCTGTGGTCATAAGGGTGCGGTGTCCTTGCTCTGGGAGCTGAACACGCAACTCTGAGGTGTAACCGCGTTTCCTGCAGCCTTTCATTGGGCAGCAGATATCACTGTCTGCACCAAGGTGAGGGACACAGCAATGTGCATGACAATGCGGGTTCCTCTTCCTGCTCAGAGTTCTCCTCTTTCACGTGTGTGTCCTGAGGTAAGAGGACTGAAGCAGGGGGCATTTCTGGGTAGAATGCACAGCCCAGCTCCAAGCTGTTGCCTGCAGTGGCGGGACTGTGCCCATTCCCAGCAGGAGGGGCCAGGCCTGTCTGCTCCTCACCTTTGTCAGCATTTCTTCTTTGTTCTTTGGCTGACAGCCACTCGTTGGGTGGAGTGGATAGTCCACTGTGGCTTTGTTGCATTTCCTTGGAGGTTACTAGCATGGATCACCTTACAGAAGCTGCATGGTCATTTGCATATGTCCTTGAAGGAAGTGTCTTTGCATGTCCTTTCCTGTTTTCTTTTGGGCTACTTTTATTAGTATGTTTTGTGGTATTTGATTGCCAGGTCATTTCTGTATCTGAATATCAATCTTGTCCAACACAAGGATTGCGATGTTTCCTCCTGTCCCCTGGGCTGCCCTGTCATTGCTTTAATTGATGCTTTGCTTTTTAGTTGGGTGTAATCTACTTGTTATTTTGATTTCTGTTGCCTGTGCTTTGTTTTGGTTTCAAAAAAAAAAAAAAGAATCACTGGTCACACCACTGTCTAGTGGCTTTTTTTCTGAAATTTCTTGGAACCTCCATCCTTGGTCTGATGTTTGACACTTTAACCTATTTTCGGCAGACTTCTAAGTGTGACTAAGGGTGAGATCTCCTATTCCAGGCAGATGGCCAGTCTTCTAATCCCACCTCTTGGACTGCTTTCCACGACACCCATTCTTGATGCCCTGGTGGACCACCTGACCACATGCTTGTGGGTGTCTCTGGGCTCCCTGTTCTGTTCCAGAGGCCCATCTGTCCATCCTCCTGCCTGTGCTGTACCCTGCATTTCCATGCAGCTTTGCAGTTGGAAAAGTGGGATGGCTCCAGCTTTACTCTTCTGGCTGAGATTGTCAACTCAGTCATCATGGTCTTTTGTGCTTTTGCATGAACGTTTATAACTTGTTAACATTTTTGTGAAAAGTGCCATAGGAATTATATATATATATATTTCAATCAACAGATAAATCTGTGTCTTTATCAAGTACAGCACTGGAAGTGCACACACGCTGTGCTGTGGTCAAGTCTAGCTGGCGAGCAATGGAGAGCTCCCGCAGTTGCTGTCTTTGTGGAGAGAAAGCTGGACACTCCCTCTGTGAGGTCTTCCAGAGCACAGCCATCCTTGAGAACTGCCCTCTCCTCACCACCTACTGGAAGCTGCATTGCTTGTGTTGGTGCCAATGGGAAACAGAGATTTTTAAAGTGTAAAGCCTTTCCATATATTTCTGCTTCTCTATTCCCCTCAAAGAGTTTCCTCATTTCCAGGGACCTGGCGATGCCACCCCTGGGTGTGGATCCAGGGTTCAGCTCATGCTGCTCTGGGGCATCTCCATCTCCACAAGCTGGGGACCTATCAGACAGGAAGGCTCTCAGCCTCAGTGTCTCAGGCCCTGCTGCACCTTCCCAGCCTGTGGCCTCCTCCCTGAGGAGGCACATGGGGCTGGAGCAGCTCAGAGCCTGAGGTCTGTCCAGACCAAGGCCGAGCTGCCCTCCCCTCCACCTGGTGCTGCTCTCTCCATCTCTGAGGTGAGGTGACATGGGCACAGCCAGCACAGGAGCTGGAATATGTGAGCTTGACAACAACTTTCCTTTGTTTCCTGTGAATCCCTAATTCCTAGAGCAGTGTCTGCAGTACCATTGAATATTTGAATTACAAGTTTATCAGGTAGAAAAAGCAGTCTAGGCAGAAACTGAGTGGGATCTTCCTGACTTTCTCTCTTACTTAATGCTTCTGATGCCAATTTTGGTCATTTCTGTATGTCCCCAAACAGTGGACGCCTTATTTCTGCACAGCAGACTTGAACCACACAGTAAATGAAGAATGGCAGTTAGTGCAGATGAGGAAACCACATCTTTCTTGACAGTTCCAGTTTCCCTGCCATGTTACAACACAAAGTTAATATACATAAAACTGAAATTGAAGGGTTCTGGATTGTTAGGGATATGATGGTCACATATGAACATATGTATATAATGAAAAATATAAAGATTATTGAGGAAATGGGAGAAATGAAGTGTCCTGCCAAGCCAAAAAACTGTCTCCAGAAATGAAAAAAGAATATAGAACCTCGTTGTTTAACTGAGCATTAGAGAAAACTGATGCACATGCTAGGCTATCTGCTGATGGAATCCATCAGGCCCCAGAGGACCCACTCAGCCATTGCAGAGATGGATGAGATCTCCCCTGGGTGCTGGTCCCCAGATGCCCTCTCTCACATACACACTCTCAAAACAAGTAACTGATACATTGCTCTTGAGTAAGATGTGAAAGTACCTTTGCCACACACCTTTCACCTTACATTAATCTTGTAATTGAAGTTGCCATTTGTTTTAGTTATTTGCTGTTTTCCAAAGGTAAATTGGAACTCGTTCTGCTATAATAAATAGGTAGCAAAACTGGGGGCCTGGTGCCTGGGCCCAATCTGCACTGCCACAGGGAGAAGAGTCTCCCTCTGTGAGGTACACAGTTCAAACTGAAAAGCCCCAGGCCTTCAGACAAACACACCTGATTTAAAACTGGCAAGAGGCACATGTGCCTTTTTAGAAGATTTCCATACATTTCACAGAGACTGAAAAAGGCTGTCAAGAATCTCAAGTATTCTCAAGGAAGCTGTCTAAGGAGAGAGGGGAAGAAATATCTCTGTTTTGGCACCAGGAAAGTTCCATGTTTTCCCTTGGATTTGTACAGGTTGAGCTTCCCTTATCTGATAGCTTGGTACTAGAAGTCTTTTGAATATCAGAAGTTTTCGAATGCTGGGATTTTTGCATATTTAAATGGCACATCTTGGGCTGTGACCCTAAGGATGGCATTCACTTGTGTTATATGTGTACTTACACACAGAGCCTGCAGGTGATGTGGCATTATTCTCAGTGAGCCTAGTCTTGACAGAGACCTGCCTGTGAGCTCAGGTAGGCGGTTCCACATGTTGATGCTCAAAAAATTCTGACTTGGTTCTTCGATTTCAGACTAGTGGATTGGGGATGCTCCAGCTGAATTTTCCACTCCCAACGCTATGTCAGAGATAACCTGAGGTCAAGTTTCAGGATACTTATCCTAGGCCTTTCCCTCATGTTAATATACTACACTGGGAAAACTCTGTGGCATCTCATCTTTGTTTTTCCCCTAGCACAAAATCTTTACTTTAAATGCTTTCATATTATATCTCACTATTTGTTTATATGTATTGAGTAACATGGTTTAAATCGAGGGGACATTTGCTGGATAGTATTGCAATTCTCATTTTATGCCATACTAATCATGGGTTGTGGGGCAAGTTACCAAGTCACTCTCTGACTCAGATTTCTCATCGTAGAGTGAGGGCAATCTCTATAACACAGAGAGCTCTATGAGACTTTAATAACGTAATTTATATGAATTTGATTTCAAACTCTAGGCAAACAGGAAACACCTGAATCTTGATTTAGCTCATCTGACCCTTGCACAGTGGCTCTGTGTGGCTGTGACTTTTTATACCAATGGTGCTCTGGCATCCTGGTGTTAGGTCTGCTCAATAGCTTGGCACAGCTCTGTGTGCTCAGGGAGCTGGTCTGCTGCTCTCATCAGACACTTGCAGCCTCGCCTGACAGCCCCGGGCTGTGACACTTTATCTTCATGATTTCCAGGGCAATTCGATGTGATAGGACCAAGCTCACCAGTCATCGCCAAGGTTGGAGCAGAGGCCGTGTTCTCCTGCCACCTCAACCCCTCCACGGATGCCCAGGACATGGAGATCAGGTGGTTCCACGCCAAGAATTCAGAACTGGTGCATTACTATAGGAATTCCCAGGATATCCTGGAAAAGCAGCATCCAGAGTACCACAGGAGAATGGAGCTCCTCAAGGATCAGATCAGCCAAGGGCAGGTGGCCCTGAGGATCCACCCCATCCACACTTCAGATGGAGGGGATTACAATTGTTCATTTGCAAGCTCCACACACCACAGTGCAGCACAGTTCAGTGTGGAGGTCACAGGTGAGCCTCTGGCCTGAAAGCTGTCAGGTGATTGGAGGTACATTTTTATTCAACCAGTACCCTACAGTGTGCAAGGACAGATAGCAGTGTCCCAAGGACACTGGGGAGGACTTCCAGAATGCCAGGGTTGAGATTGGTCTAGAGTGTCTTCCCACGGATTCGTGTTTTGATAAAAAGGACACTGACATCCCTTTTCCTTTCCAACACACTGATGAAGGGCAGGTGCAAGCAGGGCATCTAAGCGTGGCCTGTGCAGAGCCCCAGAAACATGTCTCTGTCTAGAGACTTTGTTCTTATTTCAGAAACACAGGAGGAGCTCGAGGGAGGTGGAGGGAACGCAGTCAGCCCAGCTGCAGGCACAGGGTTCTGGACCTCATTCCATCCAGACAGAACGTGCCCTGGTTGACTGGAATCTGACTCTTGAGGGAGATGTAGAAGGGTGTGGGGAGCCAGGGTAAGACGGCCAGTGAGAAGGCCAGGTGTAGGGCCAGAATAAAGAGGTGTGTCTCGAGAGGGTCTTCTGGTGAAGTCAACGTTCTGGTTGACAAAATTGCTTGTGGACACAAGCTGGGGACCCATCAGACAGACATTTCCGTAGTAGTACTCCTAAGCAGAGGATCCAATAGAAAAACAGAATAGATGCATGGACACAGGGGACACCACTCAACAATAGTGAGGAGAGCGTGGACAGGGAAGGAGAAAAGAAAAGGAGGAAATTCTAGACACATAAAAAGAACAGCCCAACCTCCCCCACTAGATTCCCAGCTCTGGGGTCCCTTCCCTTTGGAGAAGTCTCTCTATGTATCTCTGTTGCTTTTGCAATAATCCTGATGCTTGCTTGCTATCCCTGTGTCCTGCTCTTCAACTCTGCTGAACAGAGACAACAATCCCAGCACCCCTAGATGGGCACAGACTTGCACACTCATCCTGGGATATCCTTATCTGCTCACATCTCTGCCTAAGGTGAAGCACTTACATCCCACATCTGTGCACACAGTCACCCCAGAAACTCCTGTGGGGCCGGGATGGAAGAGTAAGGAAGGTTTCTAGTGAAAACATTACCTGAGCCTGATTCAGCCTCCATCAACACCAGCACAGAGCCTTGTGCTGGTCTCTGGAAGGAGCTTCTCTCTCCCATTCCTTGAATGAACCCTGGGAGAAACCAGCCTGGTCCATCTCAAGGAGCATAGGGTTCATAACCTTGCAGAGCGGGGAAGCTTTCTTCTAGGCCTCTGTGACCTGTGTACAGATATCCACCTGCCATTCAATGACAATCCTGAAAGTCAATGTGATTGGGAGAAGAGTCTGTCCGTCACAGAGACTGTGCTTGGTCTAGTTTCATTAGAACAAGTTTACACAATAAATGGCAGCATTTACCTGATTCTTCCTGGACTGTAGGTAAATACTGAAAAGCGGCTTGCTGGCAAGTTTTAAACAACAGTTGGTGCCAAAGCTTCTGCCAACCAGACCCTTTATAAATCCACCAGTTGAATCTCAGCAGAGTCTCAGAGAGGACAGTGAGCCCTGTCTGTGGCTAGAGAAAGCCTCTTTCTTGCAGCAGGCTCAAGGGTGGTCTTAGAGTTCTTACTGCAAGAGCCTGCCCTGTGCGGTGGAGTGCCACCTGCAGAGGCCATTGAGAGGCCCTCCCAAAGCCGCAAGAGCCAGGCCAGCTGGGCTCGTGCAGTGGCTCGGCCTCACTTTCTGGGCAGAGAGGTTTGTCTGTGACAATGATTTCTAGAGAAAACCAGGCAGGAGACATCTACTTCTAAAGGTATTTCACATACTTCCTAAAGCTTTGGTGAAACCTAATTAGTGGCTATCATCTTGAGAGCCAGTTGGTAGTACTGTTTCTCCAAAGAAAAAAAAAAGTCCTTCCTTTCTCTGAACTGGTGGATTTGCCTGATCCCAGATGCTTTTGCTCTTGGCCCAGAGGAATTCCACCAGCAAACAGAGAACAGCTTCCCACTGCTGTCCCACTATACCCCAGATTCCCTGCAAGCACACAGCTCCCTCCTTGAAGCTAGTGGCTGGGCTGATGGGCCTCCTACTTGCAAATGAATGTGTTCTGAGCTTCAACAGAGGGTGCCTAACATATTTTAGTCTCATGAATCCATGGCAGGAAATATTTTCATACTAACTCTTTGACTTCTCTAAAGCAGATAGGAAAGCACAGGTGTTTCCCAAACAAAGTAGTAAAGGATTTTAATTTTTTAAGGATGCAAACAAAAACATTAAAGCAAATTCAAGCCTGTGTCAGACTTCCTGGTGAGCACTGTGTGTCTGTGCAGCACCATGCCTGTGAATCCATCACCATTCTGTGGAGGCACTGTGTCCTCCCAAACCCAGGGCTGACTCTCTTGTCAGTTGTAAGCGCTGTGTAAATATCCCAGATTTCACATCCTAGCTAGTTGAATGTCTGCTGATGGCATCTCTGATAGCACTTCAGTGTGGTGGATTCTGAGCTTAGGAGTGAGATGTTCTTCTACCTTTGCAGGCAATTGCTGATGCTTCTGGTCTGCTACAATATAAATCTGGATGCAAATATTGCAATAACAAATAACCACAGGTGTTTTTTGAATAACCAATAGGGTTTTCCAAAGGAAAGGTTTCTCTGGTCCCTACATCCAGGAGCTCAGGGTTCCGTGATTTCCAGGCAGGCTGCTTTTTGCACGTGTCCTGGAGTGTGGTGGGAAGTCACTGCTGGCTTTGCAGTTCACACTCCTGGTGAACCAGTCACCCTGAGCACTGTGCTGAGCCAACCTCCTCTTCTCCTGCTGGCCAGCACTGTCCATGGGGCTTGCTGGACCCTGGGGTGTTTTCCCTGAGTACCTACTGCCCATGCCCAGTGCAAGGCAGTGCCTGGGCTCTGCACAGAGTAGGTCTCATATGTGCTCCTGTGGGCAAAGGTCAGCCCCAGACAGAGCCCTGGTCCTCCCCACTGTGGCCTCAGGCTGTCCTGTGATCTTCTAGGCTGGTTGGGTTCTAGCATGCCTTTCTTCATCTGTCCCCTCCCTCCTACAGGAGTGAGGCCTGGCCAGGTCAGGAAGGGTTCCCTGGAGAATCAGTCTGTGCCAACACCCCCAGAGTTTTACCTCTGTCAGGCTCCTTAATCTTCCCAGGGAGGAGAAGCAGCACACCTGCCGGCAAGGATGTCTTCTCTTGCTCTTCTCATCTCCCAAACTAAACCTTTGCCTTTCCTTGCTTTCTCTTCTGCTTTCTCAGATCCCATGTAGAGATCCTACACAGCCCGATGGCCTGTCTGCTCTGTTCAGAATATTTTAGTAGAGATATAATTATCCAGAAACGCTAGTCACTGTGCTTTATCCCAAGCCACTTCCCCATAGAGGCCTGCAGAGAAAGAGCACAGGGCAAAAGGAGTGGAAGACATGTCAGGTTTCCACATCAATCACCCCGAGGCTATTTTCTGAACAACAAATGTAGCCTTGACCTTGGGGCTGTAGATGTCTTACAGCCTTGTCTGTGCCTAGCCCTAGAAGATAGAGAGTACTTGAGGATAAGGCATGCTCCCTGCTATTAAGGACATCATCTACAGGAGGCTCAACCAATTCCAGTGAGACTTCCATCAGCATCTGGAGACTACTCCTAAGCACAAGGAGGTGGGACGTGTGTTCCACAGCTGGGGAGGCACTTCCACAGATAAAAACTTCATTACCCCAAAACTGCGCTGCCCAGGTAAGGCAGCTACCTCCTGCATGTGGCCACGCAGGTGCAGCTTAACCCCTACTAAATCATACAGGAATGCCAGTCCCACAGCCACCTGGCTAGTGGGTCTCACACAGAGCCCTGACCTTCCTGGGCTTCTCCCATGAGAAGAATTTATGCAGGAGGCCTGAGCTGGAGGAGGGTGAGTGAATGTTGGGGAGCAGTTTAACCACAGGAGCCTCTAATCCACACGTGCCCTTCAGTTCTCAACCATGCTAAATGGATGGATGGAGGGTCTCAGCCCAACAATAGTGAGCATGAAAAGAAAAGATGAGTCCTGCACTCAAAGGAAAGGGGGAAAGAAAATGGTTCAGAGGGTGTTTAACCACTTGTTCACACACTGGTATAGATAATTCAATTGATTTCTCACAAGTACATAGAAAAGAAATTATTTTGGAGACAGTATTTTCATACTCCAACTTTCACAAGCAGAAGAGTTCGGACTCCTGTAGATCAACCAGGAAGCCCAAGTCCATAGGCCTCAGGGGGGCAGAGTCGTTGACCTCCTAACACAACAGTCTCTCTGTCTCTCTCTCTCTCTCTCTCTCTCTCTCTCTCTCTCTCTCTCTCTCTCTCTTCCCAGCCTCAGGCCTGGATCCTCGTATTCATGTTGAACCTGGTCCCAGTGGGAGAATTAAGCTGACCTGCTTGTCCCCAGGGTGGTACCCGGAGCCAGAGGTACAGTGGAGTGGCCCAGGAGGACTCCTTCTAGAACCTGCCTCAGAGACCAGGACTATAGCAGGAGATGGCCTGTTCCATGTGGAGTCCTCTCTCTCAGTTGGGGAAAATTCCACAGGACACCTGACTTGTTCCATCAGGAACCCTGTCCTCGATGAGGATAAGAAGACCCACGTGTCCATGGCAGGTCAGTTCCCTCCCAGGTGCTCCTCCAGAGGTTCCAGTGCAGATAGGAAGCTGTGAGGAGCAGAGACCCCTGACACAGACTGCAATGAGGGTCCAGTGGGTGCCTTGCCACTCCTGAGTGGGGACCTCCTGAGATATACCCACTTCCCCTGTGCACTCCTGCTGAGGTCAACAAGGTCATTATTTCACAGGGTAGAAGGGGATACGCCAAAGCCTTCAAGAGTGATAGGAATAAGAGGATCTTTCAGAGTCCCTTGGAACCTTTCCATATCCTCCTGCTCAGACTTATCCACACATAACAATATGGGCTTTTTCCCCACCTGTCAATTTAGCTAAAATGCTGGCCACAGCCACCTCTGTGACCGTGATACATGCAGACCGTTTTGTGCCCAGTTTCCAACTACTAAAAAGGG